TAAATTTTTTTTTTTTTGTGAGTTGGAGTGTCTCTCTGTCACCCAGACTGGAGTGCAGTGGCCGCTCCCGGCCACCGCAGCCTCGACCTGCTGGGCTCCGGCGATCCTTCCGCCTCAGCCTTCTGAGTAGCCGGAATTATAGGCGTGTGCTAACACGCCCAGCTGATTTTTTGATTTATTGTAGAGATAAGGTCTCGCTGCCCAGGCGGGTCTCGAACCCGCGGGCTCAGGCAACCCTGGCTAATTTTTTGATCTGTTATAGAGACTGGGTCTTGCCAAGTTGCCCAGGCTGGTCTTGAACCCGTGGGCTCAGGCAATTCTCTCACCTCAGCCTCTCAAAGTGCTGTGATTACAGGTGTGAGCCACCACACCCAACCTGTGGCTGTGATGACTTTCTAAATTTCCGTTTCATCCTTTGCTCATTGGTCCCAGAGTGCCAAAGAAACCACAACTCCCAGCAGTCCCCATGATAGAATGAGTTATGTAAACAGCCTGCCCTACGTGCTTCTGAGAATTGAGGCTCCACCGGTCAGCTCGTGCCCTTCTGTGGACCTCAGAATAGATCCCTCCCCACAAAGGGCTGCACAAGAAAGCGGAACTCCCGAAAGTGTCTGGGGTCAGAGCTAACATGGCAAACTGCCCCTGGGGCTGCTGGGAATGGCCGTCTCTCTGCACAGAGGTCCAGACCATACCTGCGTGGCAAAGATGGCTCTCTTCATCATAGTGAAGTCTTCCTTATCCAGCATCTTGTTCATGTCCGGGAGGCTCCCCCTGCAAGAGGGACGGGGTAAACATCTGGGAACGGGGTGACGAGGGAAGTGAGGGCCCAGGAGAGTACAGGGCAGAGCACTTACACCAGCAAGGATTCGTACAGCTTCCTCCCGAACTTTTCCTTCACCGTGTTGGCCGTGTCCCTGGAAGGAGCAGAGTGATCACGTCACATACACACCAGCTGCCATGTCTTGTATCTGGGGCAGCAAGGAAACTGGGGTCCGAGCAGGAAAGTCAGGTGCTGGGGCCTCCAGGCTGGAGAAGGACCCAAGGAACGGGGTCCCCTGGAAAGCTTAGATTCCTTGTGCCTGACATCAGCTGTGTGGCCAGGGACAGGTGGCTTTCCCTCTCTGACTTCAGTGAGTCATCTGTCAACAGGGACAAAAATAGGATCAACCTCAGAGGTTTGCAGTGAGAATTCTATGAGGTCATGACAAAAGCGTACATAGCAAGCCTTCCAGAAATGTCAGCTATTATTAGGATGTGTACCAGCCCTGCAGGTGGTGACGCTAAGCCCCATTTTATAAGAAAGAAAAATGATTCTAAGCAAGGCACACCAATAAACCTAGCAAAGCACATCACTCCACAGCCCCATGGATGACTCCTCTGCTTACAATCCTCCCATATCTCTGGCTTCATTATTTATTCTATCTCCTAGGGACACGTTGTTCCAGCCATGCTGGCCTTCTCACTGAGTCTCAAACATGCCTCAGGTCCTTTGCACTGGCTGTTCCCGATACACACAGGGCTTTCTCCCTCATCTCCTTTATTGATCTCTGCCCAATGACACTTTCTCAGTATGATCTGTCCCAGAACACTGTCTATAGGATTTTCTAGAAATGCAAGTTCTATGAAGAGAAGGTCTAATCTTTCTTCTTCACAATTGTGGTCTCAGGGCCTGGAACAGTGTCAGGCACATAGTAGATGTTTGGTACATATCTGATGGCTAATCAGTGAATGGATTTTACAGATAAAGAAACTGAGGGCCAGCGGTTTGCCTAAAGTCACCAAGCCAGTAAAGGTCAGTGGTATGAGTGGACCTCACTGGTTTGGTATGAGAGCCCTGGACTTTTTTTTTTTTTTTTCAGTCAGA